AAAGGTGCATGTGAGAAAGGCAGGGACAACACTGACACTAAAGTTAACTCCGCAATTTACACAATGAAAATATGTTACTTTGACATCTTTTTAAATATTTATTTATTTACTGCATGAATGGCTGGCTTATACTTTAGAACTCTATTTTAAAAATAAAGTTTTAATAATTATATGAATACAAATATTTCTATATTTTTCACCACACATACACATTTACATATAAATGTTTTACCTTTTCTCACTTGTTTGTTGTTATGTGCCCTCGAGTCAGCTGCAACTCATGATGACCCTATGTATAACAGCCCTTAATCCTGCTCTATTCTGTGTCAATCTTACTGTCTCTGACAACCCTACTCCCATTATCCCAGTCACTGAATCAAGCAATCTCATCAAGTGTCTTCCTCTCTTGTTCTGCCCCTCCACCCTACTTGCAGTCCAGGGTATAGTCAATACTCTTCTCCAGCACCACAGCTCAAAGGCATCACTTCTCCTTCTATCATTCTTAGTCATTGTACAGCTTTCTGATGCACAACAAGTAATTGCAAAGATCATGGCCTGGATCAAAGCTTTTCTCAATATCTAGTTCTTTATTAGCCTCAGGAAAATTCTTGATTATCAATCCCAAATAAGTCAGTTATTTGTAGTAATTATAGTAAATTCTACCTCTGGCAACTTTTTCAAAGCTCTTAAAAATTTAACATCTTGGCTAAAACATTCTCAAAGTGCCTTTCTCTGGAATAGTGACTGCATACCAACACCGACCAATTAAGATGCAAGTTAAGATAAAGATAGGACATTAAGACAAGAAATGGCTCATACTTCTGACTAAAGAAATAAGCCACATTCAGCCCAAACAAGGAAAATGCTATTAGGTAACTTTTGTGTGTGTGTGTGTGTGTGTGCGTGTACCGTCAAATCAGATCTGACTGGTACAGGAGGAGACTGCCCCTCCTTCCCCGGCAGGGCATCTGGTGGATTTGAACCGTGCACCTCTGGGATTGTAGTTGCAGCTTCTTGCCACTAGGCCACCAGAGCTCCCCACTATTAGGTAACTTAACTAGCTATTTTCTATCCTTTTTCTTCATGAGACACTGAGCTCTATTTAGTTTTGAAAGTTTTCTAATGAAATTCTACTGCAGTGGTGGTAGGGAATGATACAATATACAAAATATGCAGTGAGTTATGAAAATTGCAGACAAATCTTAACTTTGAAAAATCAACCTGGTTTACAATCCCTATATTAGCACACAACACTTCAGGTTTTAACGAGCACAATGAATTTGGTTATCTTCAGAGACTCGCCACCAAGGTGCCATTTTCGCAAATGCAACAGCATCCTTCTGGGAGCTAATATTATCATCTGTGCCCCATCGATACCAAACCTGTGGAAAAATGTAATGTGTTTAATCTCCTTAGTCAAAACAAAAGTAGAATTTTATCAGCAAAAAGATAAATGCAAAGGCCATTTATGCAAATTATCTCCATGGAACATCGGAATAGAATCAGAGCCATTTATAAACTATGATGCACAGAGTTCTATGTTCTATATTAATTACAATCACCATCTTGACTAACTAGTTTACACCTGCATACTGTTCATACAGAAGCTGCATGGGCCATGAAGGATGTCTGTCAGCAGTGGTCACTGGTGGAGTCAACCACGTTTAACATTCTGGCAAGTGATCTTCTTATCTAACCTTTACACATGCCTACGAAGACTGAAGAAAAACCAATTGCAAAGAGTTAAGTATCCATAGATAGTCACAAGAACAAACAGATCTGTCTTGAAAGAACTGTACCAGAGCATTCCTCACAGCAAGGATGGTGAGATTTCATTTCACGTACACTGAGCATGTTATCAGAAGGGGTCAATTCTTGGACAAAGGCATCATGCTTAGAACAGTAGAGGGTCAAGAGGAAGACTTTGAACAAAATGGATTATCACAGTGCCTGCAACAATGGGCACACCAGAGACGGTGATGATGGCACTGCACCAGGCAGGGGTTCCTTCTTTCGTGTACAGCATCACTATAGGCCAGAGCCAATTTCATGGCAGCTAACAACAACACTGATACCAGAGAATCATCTGAAAACACATACACTAGGCTAATGGAAAATCAACAAAAGTATTTTAGGCTCAAAGAAAAGGATGTTTACCTAATTATACTCAAAGAATTAGCATATAAAGCTGCTAATGGAAAAAGAAGGAGCAATACAATATAATCTTAATGATACAAGCAAATATCTTAAGGCCTTTGGTTCCTTGATTTGGAGATGCAGGATCATGATTACAAAAGGCATCCCAGTCAATCAACAGTGTTTAGCACTTCTGTTCTACTTCCCAGTTCACTAGTGTCTGGGGTCTTAAAAGCTTTCAATGTGCAACTACTGGTCTCTACTAGTTTAGGGCAACGAAGTCAGGAAGAGACAGTAGAAACAATGCTTAGCTGTTTCCAGGAACAAAGCCCTCTTTTACAACAATACTAAAAAAACTCATGGAATCCATCAAGACCATGATCAAAAGGGGGTTACTGTAAGCCAGAATTTCAAATTCTCATGAAATCCAGACTTCTAGAGCCATGGAAACTGGATGAATCCCTGAAACTACTGTTCTGAAATAATCTTTAAACCAAAATCACTCTCTGAAGTACTTTTTTAATTGATATTTTAAGAAAAGTTTACAGAAAACTTGGATTTTCATTCATTCACTATTGCAAATTTTCCTCCCTACCCACCCCCCTTCACTTTTCTCTTTAAAAAGCTTCCTCCTCCCCTCCCACCACCTCCAGTTCACTTTGGTATGCACCTCTTATTCTGGACTGTTGTAATGCAAATAATACCTAATTATATCTCAGTAACAAAAGGACAAATACTGCATAACGCCACTACTGTATAACAGGACTCACATGTTAGTTGGGGAGAAACTACTAAAAGAGGGGATAAATAATGAACACTGCATTTAAACAGATGAGGGAAAGAACTGTCTGAAGTATTCTTAAAACCAATTAATAGCTTAGCTAGTAAAGAATGTCTACCTATTATGGTCCTTTTAAGGGTCAGCTGAATAGGATGATCTCCAGTGAGTGGACTGACACAGTGGCTACAGCAAAGGGCTCAAGTGTGTATGAGATGAGGCTGCCACAGGATAGGCCAGTGTTCAAGTCTGCTGTTCATATGGTCACTATGAGTCATACTTGATTCTGTGGTATATAACAACTTATAGGGTGAAACTGACATCAGCAATCCAAATGATTATCCAGACTAGAAACTTAGAGAGCAGTGAGTTTGCCTTAATAGAAAAAGAAAAATGCTAAGTGTCTACAGTGTGCCTGACACAGGCAAGATAAACAAAGGAACATAGAAGAGCAAGGAACCCAACATGGACAACTTTAAATTTAAGGAACTCTGTCCATTCTATTACTCACACTGTTTTTAAGTTTTATGAACATCAACTACTTGCCAGTGTATATGGGGTACCATGCACTCCACTAATGTGAGATCTATATGTGGTCACTTATTTACCCCAGACTAGAGCTCCTCAAGCATTAATGTTTTACTAATATAGAAATAAAATCTTGCCTCTCTCAATCTTTGATATAGACAGCAATTCTGTGAATAACATCCACTCATGTTAAATCACGTAAGGGTTACTTAGAAAGCTAAAAAATAGAGTGTAATGTCTTGAACATAACCAAAGAGCAAACGGACTCTCCAAATTTGCACTATGTGCACTTTAACTTCCATTGCATTTGCTGTGGCCTTCAATAACAATAAAAAGCAAGGGACTTTAATTATAAATTAGAACACAACTCTAAAATTACGCTAGTGAGACATTTTCTTGTAGTAAGAATCTGTTAAAAGTAAACTACAAGTTTTGTTATACTTTTAAAAAACTATTCGCATCGCATAATTTCTTCATAAAAGCTGTAATTGCTCCTATTTTCCTAAATTCTAAAACAGATATTGCTGACAATGTTACACGAATTTTACTTTCTACATTACAATGTAATTTTGTACCTGGTCAAAGCACCAATTTTGCAATCACACCATATTACCGAGGGCTTTCCAAATAGGTGCGAGACCTTAACTGTAAATATAAGGGTTTCCGAACTAAAAACTGGACATGTGTTTTTAAAGTCTTCCAGGCCTAAAATAAAGGCACACTAAATTGTAAAATGTTAACTAGTCAATACATTAGTAACGAGTTAAATTTTACTGAGGATTGATTTAAAAAAAAAAAATCAACTCTGCAATGCGATACCGAAGGTGAAAGCTGAAGAAATAAGATTTAAAAAAAAAAAAAACCAACCCCACTCAAATGCGTTTAAAGTAAATTCTGGAAGCGATGCTGTGAAACCTTTTCACCAGCCTCCCTATTCTTCAACGGCATTTTAGAATAAGTTGTGTTTGCACGCCTTTTTTAAGGCAATCACCAAGAAAAAGAGTCCAAAAATCTGTCCATTAACATCAATCAAGTCTAAAAATAGTGCCCTCCTCCTACATACTGAGCCAAGTGGCAAGAATACAGGAGAGAGAGCTCGAGAAGTTCTGAAATGGCAGTGACAGAAGACAAGGGGAAGGAATCCCAGGGTCCCGAGCCACTGTGCGGCCAAGCGCCGAGAGCTGGCACCCGAACCGCAAGCTCCCGGCTCGGGCCAGGACGAGACCCAGCAACTTCGCGCCGAGCCCGCGCTGCGGCGCTCGCCTGGCGCTTCCTTCCCCAGCCCGGCCCGGTAGCAGCTTCCATGGGGCGCAGTGACAGTCGCGGGGCGGGCTCCGAAGGATGCCGCCCGGCAGGGCTGATACCCACCTTCCTTCTCGGCCCGCGCCGCGGCCACGACGAGGGTCATCACCAGGTGCAGCGCTCCTAGAAGGCAAGGGGCCGCGCTCCGCAGGCCCCCGCCACGGGCGGCCGCGGGCTCCAGACCCGCCACGGCGGACGTGGAGGCAGCGGCTGCTCCTGCTGTGCCTCCGCCCGCTCGCTTCCCCATCCCTGCCGGCCGGGGGCCGACGCGCTCGAGGTCCAGCGCGGCCCTTCTCGGCTCCGAGGCGGCGGCGGAGCGGGGGCCGTGGTCTGGGTTCTGGTCGCGGTGCTGGAAACAAGCAGCCCGGGTCCAGGGCTTCAGCTCCTGCCTTAAGTCCGAGTTCGTGCGTGCGTGCGTGCGTGCGTGCGTGTGAGCGAGAGTGTCAGTCACGGCCGCGGCTCAGCATCGTCTACAGAAGTCAAAGCCGAAAGACCTCGGGTCAAGCACGGGAGGCGGCCATCCTGGAAACGGGCAGGAGCCTCGGGTCCAGGGCGCTGGCCTGCAAGGGGCGGAGCTCAGGACTCAACTCCGCCCTCGCCTTCACGGCGCTTGTCAGTCTGTCAGGCCCAGAGTCCTATGACCTGAACCTATTGTCCTTCTCTGACGTGCTCTAGGCTTCGCCGGCCAGAGGGGCCAAGAGTAGCTCAACACCAGTCTGTCACTGATAAATCCCACTGTTAGGTAAAAGTGAGTCAGCCCCGGGCTCCTATGCCAGGACTTATGATGGCCGCACAGACTTCGCAATGACAGTGATGGCTAGCGCAGGGCCGACTCTGCGCAGCCGCCGTAGCGCATGGGCAGGGCCGCGTGGCGCGTGGCGCCTGGTGTGGCTGGCTAACGCCCTGGGCTCGGAGAGGAACCTAGCATTTCGCTTGCTGCATCACCTGAGCCTTCCAGAGAACGGAGTCGACGTCCGGTCACGGAAATTACGCTCCGCTGAAGACTCCTGGTAGTACCTCTGCCGCTTTGGCATCTGTATTAGTTCCTGGCCCACTGCCTTGACAGGGACCTGCTCTTATCGTTTCTTTCCTTCACCGTATCCAAAAAGCACTTACAGGATCTGCATGCTATTGGATTATGCCCACATAGTCACATGTGCTGAAAGTAGCAATGACCTTTTAGTTCTCTTCCAGAAGTGTGTTAGGTGCAGTGATTCCCAAAGCCGCTCCTCTCGAAACCTCACGTTTAAGTGGAGGATCTGTGTGTGCTTGGTTCTTCCTAACAAGACTGAACTTAAGCTTCTTGAGAATTTTTTTTATTCTTTATAAATTCTATGCCGATTGGCAGTATCATGATAATGAAGAGATTGAAATTGTTAACAGCTTTCGTTTGCTTGGCTCTACAGTCAACACTCTTGGTACCAGCAGCAAGGAAATCAAAAGATTAATTGCATTGGGAGAATCTGCTGTGAGAATACTGAAGAGCAACAATGTCCCTCTGGGTATTAAGGTGTCCCTGATCCAGGCCATAGTCTTCGCAATTAGTTGCTATGCGTCAGAATGCTGGACAATGATTAGGGATGATATAAGGAGGATTGATTCTTTGAGCTGTGGTACTGGAAAAGAGTATTGAATATACAGTGGACTACTAGGAGAACAAATAGGTTCATCCTAGAAAGGGTGAGACCAGGCTGCTCCTTAGAGGCAAGGATTCTGAAGCTTCATCTGACATACTTTGGGCATGTTGCAAGGAATAACCAAACCAGTCCTTGGAGAGTGACTTCATGCCTGGGAGGGTGGAAGAGGGACAGTACAAGAGAGGAAGACTCTGGAGGAGATGTTAATTCAGTGACTGAGGTAGTGGGAGTAGGTGTGTCAGAGATAATAATGTTGGCATAAGATAGAGCAGGTTTCAGAGCTTTTGTACATAGGGTTGCTATGAGTTGCAAGCAACTTGACAGCACATAACAACAAGTTCTATTCTAAAGCCATTTTACGTTGCCTAGCAGTATTTGTTGAGCAAATGTATTTTTTAAGGCCAAATCTGACTTATTGTCAGGTGCCATAGAGTTTATTACTCAGTGACCCTATGAACAACTGATCTTAGCCTTGCCCTGCCCTGAACCATACTATCTCTGTTATACTCCATCCTATTGTTATAGTCACAGTCAATCTATCATGTATAGAAGGGCTTCATCAAAACCCTCTACCTTTCCCAACATGACGTCTTTTTCCAAAGACTACCCCACCTGACAGTATGCCCAAAGGATATGAGATTACATTTGACCATCTTTGCCTCTAAGGAGCTTCCTGACTACACACTCAGTTCAAGAGAGAGTTACTTGTTCCTTTGGCAATCAGATAGTCTAACACCACAATTCAGATGCATCGCTTCTTTTATATGTCTAGAAAGCAGTTGAAAAGGGCATGGTTTAGAAAAGCAATTGAAAGTGACCATGGCCACTTCAGTCTTCAAGCAGACATCCTTGCTCTTTAGCACTTTGGTGAGGTCCTTGACAGTAGAATTTCCCAATGCAACATGTCTTTTCATTTCTTGACTGTTACTACTATGAGGATTGTGGATTCAAGGTAAATTAAATCATTGACAGCTGTAGTCTATCATATCTGTTGATTTAGTAGTGAGGATTTTTGTTTTCTTAAGAGGTATATTGAAGGCTGTAGTTTTTTATCATATGCAGCAGGTTATCTTCACTATCAGCAAGCAAGATTGTGTCATCTGCATAGTGCAGGTTGTTGATGAGCCTTCCTCCAAGCCTGATGTCCTATTCTTCTTCATATAGTCCTGCTTCTCAAATGATCTCTTCAGCTTACAGATTGAATCATTGTAGGAAAAGCATACCACTCCAGTGCACACCTTTCTTACTTTAAATCATGCAGTGAGCCTTTGCTCTGTTCAGGCAACAGCTGCTTGGTTTATGTTAGGTTTCACATTAGCACAATTAAGTATTCTGGAAATCCCATTCTTTTCAATGTTATCCATAATTTGTTATGATCCATAAAGTCAAATGTTTTTGTATTATCAAATAAAACACAAGCAGACATCTTTCTGGTGGTCTCTTTCAGCCAAAGATCCATCTGAAATTAGCAATGATATACGTTATGCCATAGCCTCCAGGTTGAATTTCTGACATTTCCCTGTCAATGTCCTGTTCAAGCCACTTTTGAATAATCTTCAAGATTTTTTGCATTTGATATTAAGGTTATTATTTGGCAATTCCTAAATTCTATTGCATCACTTTTTGTGGGTTATGGGAACAAATAAGAATTTTTTCCAGTTAGTTGACCAGGGAACTAGCTGTTTTACAAATGTCTTGGCACAGATTAGTAAACGTATCCAGGGCTGCATCTGTTTTTTGAAACATACCAGTATTTCATCACTATTTATTTTTATTTTCAGTATCATCAGTACAGCTTGAGTTTCTTCCTTTATTACCATACTTCCTAAAATGGTCCAGTGTTGACAATTCTTTTTGGTACAGTAACTCAGTGTATTCTTGTATCTTCCTTTGATGCTCCCTGGATCATTCAAGATTTTGCCCATACTATCCTTTAGAATTGCACCTCGAGGCTTGAATTTATTTTCAGTTCTTTCAGTTTGAGAAATGCTGAGTGCTTCCTTGTTTATTTTCTAACTCCTGTTCTTTGTACATTTTGTTATAGTACTTTGCTTTGACTCCTCAAACTGCCCTTTGAAATCTTTGATTTTTCTCTTTTACGTAAGCATTTCTTCCTGTTGTTTTGACCTTTACATTCTAGTGCAATTTTCAGTCTTTTCTGACATCTGCTTTGGTCTCTTCTTTCTCCCCAATCTTTGTAATGATCTTTTTTGCTTTCTTCATGGATAATAAATCCTTGATGTCATCCATAAGCCATCTGGTCTTTGTTAGTATTCAATGTATAAAACCTATAACTTGAGATTATTTTTAAATTCAGCTGAAATAGACTCAAGGGCATATTTTTATTCTTATGAATTTATTTTCTTCAGCCTCTATTTGAACTTGTGTATGCGTAATTTGTGGTCTATTCCACTTGCCCTGGTTTTGACTGCTGGTATTGAGCTTCTGTGTCAATTCTTTCCATAGATGTAGTCAGTCTGATTCGATTCCTGTATAGTTCACAAGTGAGGTCCATGTGTAGAGTCACCATTTGTGGAGTGGTTTGTTTGTTTTTTTTCTTTTTAAAAAAAGTGTTTGCAAAAAATAAATCATTGGTTGCACAGAATTCAATCATTTGATCTCCAGCCTCTGTAACAAAGTCTGTATTTTCCAGCAAACAGTCCTTGTTTTTGTTTCCAACTTTTGCTTTCCAGTCACCAGTTGTTATTAATGCATCTTGAACATGATGTTCGATCAATTTGAGAATGCAAAACTTGGTAGAAATACCCTACTTCTTCATATTTGGCTTGAAAGATTGATACTAAATATTTCAATACTAGTTGTATTAAAAGCACTTCCTCTTATTACTATGAATAATATCCTATCACTCACAGTATTTTACTTTAGCATTGTACTCTTGAAATGTTCTTTTTTTACTATGAATGCAACATCATTCTTCCTCAATTTTTCATTCCCATCATAATAGATCCTCTAACTGTCTGATTCAAAATGGCCCATACTATTTTCACCTCAGCCCAGTAATACCTAGAATGGCAATCTTCACGTGTTCCATTTCATTTTTGTCAACTTCCATTTTCTTAAATTTATGTTTTGTACATTCCATGTTCCAATAATTAATACATGTTAGCAGCTATTTATCTTCATTTTTCAGTATTGTTCAATCGGAGGGCCTCTACTTCTAATACTATATTTAACAGCATTCCTTGATTATTTAGAGTCTTTGATGGCCTGTCCCATGGCCAGTCCTGCTTCTTAGTTTTCATCTGGAATTTCAGATGAAATTTGTCCACTGTAGGTGATCTGCTGTATTTAAAATACAGGCATAGCTTCCAACAACCCACAAGCCACCTCCATACTTCAGACTGACAGAAAAGTGCGGTACCCATAAGAGCAAACCATAAAATAATCAAGCATACAAATATCATAAAACAAACATGCATGCTATGGGGGCAAATGTGTTGAAGATACATCAGCATGAGGAATGAATGTCCATCCTGGGGCAGAGTTTCTGCTGGCCTCAGAGGAGCCTAGGGTAGTCTGCCTGGCTAAAAAAAAATGGGTCTTTGCCAATCTAGGGAATGGATACCTCCCAGTTACAGGAGGTGTCCCCTCCCTCTAATCTGGTGCATGATTGCAGACCAGGAGTGGTGAGTCAGCAGGCCCTGGGAACAATGCTCTGGGAGCCTCTGGCTCCAGACACAGGGTTGTATGACCATGGCCTGAGGAAGAGCCGGATGTTGGCAGGGTAATATGGACAAGAGAAGGTAGGTGGGGGGAACATGACCCACCACCTGATGAGTAGTGAGGTGTGGTGGGTACAGGCGACAAGGGGAAGCTTGGATGTTTTCAGCT